ATCTGTAAATAAAACAAAATTAATAATTTCTTCATAGATGGGTCATTATCATTGTCCACAACATAATCTTCCAATCTAGCTGGTAGTTGATGACATCTCCTTGGTGTATTAGAAGATGCTGGTTCATTAGCAACTAGATTTGGTTATCCCTCAAACTCTTTGTAGTTGCCAAAGATCACCATTTTCTCCTTTTGAAACTTTTATCTCTTAAAAGAAATATACAGGTGATATTCTAAAGAAATTCAAGATGGACAATTCAAAGCCAATTTTCATGTCAGTTGAAGAAAAGTTAAAGCTAACAAAAGAAAGTGAAGGTGGAAAGGTGGATGCAACCTAATACAAAAGTTTGAGTGGAAGTTTGAGATATTTGACTGCAACTATATCAAATATAATATTTGGAGTCAGGTTACTTAGTAGATTTATGGAGGAGCCACGTGCTTTTCATTTTCAAGGAGCAAAGATAATTATTCGTTATATTAAAGGTATTTTGACTAATAAAATTTTTTACACTAGTAATAATGATGTGAAGGTTGTTGGATACACAAATGGTGATTGGGCAGGAGATGTGAGAACAAGAAATAATGTGTCAAGGTATGCATTTTATTTAGGTACTGGTACAATATAATGGTCTTCAAAAAAATAACTAATTGTTGCACTTTTTAGTGTTGAAGCCAAATATATTACAACAATTATGTTATACAAGTAATATGGCTGAAGAATTCTAAAGGTGATGCACCAAAAACATAATACTCCCACATAAATATTTTGTAACAATTGCAATTGCATTAAACAAAAATCCAAATTTTCATGGACGATCTAAACACATTAATATTTGATTCTACAAGATACGAGAATTGATAACTGAAAAGGAAGTGAAGGTTAACTATTATTCAACTAAAAAGTAAGTAAAAAATATTTTTACAGAGTTGTTAAAGATCAATTTATTTTACAAATTGAAGAAAATACTTGAAATGATGATTTAAGGGAGTAAATGTAAAAAAATATTAAATCAAGCCGCATCGCTTGAAATCTTCTTATCCATTAAACATTCTAAAAAAAAATTACTACATTGCTTTCTTTTTTCTCAAGTTATAACTGCACCACCATTTGTTTTTTCTTAAGACTTAAGGTTAGCTTTTACTAATATTTTATTAAAATACTTTGCCTATAAAAGATAACATACCGGATGATGTTTTGTATGATTTTTTTTAGCCAAATCAATCAAAGAGAATGAATTAATGGTGTATCAATTGAGTAATTTAAAAGGAAAACTTTTCCTCCTTCTCTCTCATTTTCACTTAGTGATATCTATTTGTTTTAGTAGTAACAGAATAACGGGAGGGTGAGTGTTGCATATTTAGATTTTTCAATGAAGATATCACGATTGAATTCCCACACCTGAACATTAGTTAAAAGTTAATTGTTGTAGAAAATTACTTTTATTCTACATCGGTGACATTTAGAATGGTAATAATATTGATCCAAAATGTCTATTTTAATTGATGTAAAAATGTTGTATGTGTACTAGTGATTATCGAGTTATTTGAGCAATTTGATCCGATTATGAAGTGTATATATATGCAGAACCTTAAAACATTAAACCAAGCACGATCGTGTTTGATAAGTTTATGCCCACTATTATATGTAAATGAGATTGTCAATACTATGAATGTTTTTTGGACTTTGAACATTTTGAGACTCCAAAGACATGTTCTCTCTCTCTCTAGAACTCAAGATTAAAATGATCAATGTCTCTTATCAATAAAATATTACTTAATGGTCACAAAGGGTCAATTTTACTTCTTAACATTCAATCACAATTGTTCAGTCTAAACTACGTGGTTATATATATATATATATATATATATATGAGGGATGTTATAATAACACCGATATAATTTTTACTAAGTGTTACACCGCTCAATAACTTTATATTAAATGCAAATTTTGTAAATCTTATCGTTAAATTGAAAGTTCATATCTCTTAGATCATATATATAAAATTTTATATTAATCCAAGATGATTTGATACTTCATTTTTATAAAATAAAATTGACGTAATATATTCATTTCAAAATATACTAAAATATGAACACTTTGATTACCTTCAAATTGTTGTTCAATTTTAATAAAATTTGATATACACCTATAAAAAAGTGATATGAACTTTCAATCTAACGGTTGAATTTACAAAATTCACA